GGCTAAGAGAGAACAGGTGATTCATCTGTAATCAGGAAGGAAAAGCTCGCCAGGTGATATGCCCTGCAACCATCTCTCTGCCCTTCTGAACCACCCCAAGGCGAACACACGCAGCCCTGGAAATGCCCCCAAAATAAGAGCAGTGCACAGTGACTCTTGTAAAGAAATGGTCTGAAGTAGCTAGAGTCATAGGACCCCAGCCAGGAACCGAGAGGTTAAAACTGCATTGACCTCTACTACCCTGGGCAGCAGTTCCTGCCACCAGCAGGGGGAATCCCAAGGGTGGGTTATTTTTTCCTTAACCAAGCAGAAAAAAGGAAATTTTACTAGAAACCCTGGAAACCAATGTAAAATCTGGGCCTAAGTCATCACAGAACTGAACACAAGGAAGACAGCAATATTCTGGCAGCGAACCTCTTCTACCCAGCATGCCAAGTTATCGTCTGGGACTGGTTTCAATAGCAGCTTTGTGGCCCAGATGGCCAGCACTGCCACCCGACAGCTAGTTCCCAGCCTCAGATAAAGCCTCCGTGTGTCTCTGTGCAAGTCTTACCTTGAACCTGGAGCCCTGGATCTTCGTGTCGTTTGGAGGTCAGACAACCCTAAGTTTCAAGCCATGAGCCAGGAGCCCAGAAGAAACCACTTCCCTCTGATTATTCTGCCGGATGCCCGAAGCTCTCCCAAGCTTCTGCTTAAAAGTGCAAACGATTTACTCTCCTCCCTCCACTCCTCGGAGGACCGCAGGACCGCTCATCCCCGTCCTGACACCAGCACCCCTATTCCAGCCGGAATCCGCTCTTCCCTCATAGGCTTTTCGGGATGGTTAGTCCTAATTGTCAACCTCACTAGTTTCCCAATCACCTCAGACACACACCCTGGTGTGTCTGACAGGGTGTTGACCGAGCAGGGAAGCCTCACTCCGAATGTGGGCAGCATCGTCCATGAGCGGGAGTCCTGGGCTGAACAAAAATGGAAAGGGGGGAGAAAGCAAGCGGGGAGCCAGCATTCATCTTTCTCCGCTTCCTGTTCATGTGCTTTACCCACCACGGCACAATCGTGCCGCTGTGACCTTCCTATCATGGTGAACTGTGTCTCCTCAAACCACCACACACTCGCGCCGCCGAGCCAAACCCTTGCTTCCTTAAGTTGCTCGTCAGATATTTTGTAATAGAAACTACAAAAGTAACCAGTTCCCCGCTTACAGCCACCGCCAGACAGACAAACCACAGCTATGGAGTCTCTCCTCCTCCCATTCCTGCTCCATACACCCCAACGTGTGTGCGTGTGTCTGCCTGTCTGTCTGTCTGTCTGCCGTTACACACTGACTTCTACAAACGCCAAAAGTAACCCGTATTGGGTGAGAGGATACATGAACAGTCCACTGTCTGGACAGTGGTTGGGTGGATTAGGTCCTAAAAATGAAACCTGAGGATGGAGACAGGAAAGACATGGGGAAGTGATAAGACCAGAGCAAGACGTGAGACAGAACCTTCACACCTGTGAACTTGATGAGACCCACTCTGATCTGGGCACAGCAGAAGTACCTACTTGACTACTTCTGGTAACACAGGCTGGGGAACTTGCCTGGGTGCCCAATATTAATTAGGAACATATGGCAGATGGGGCTCCGGAGAGCGGACGAGATCCTGGGTTAAAACAGAGACACAATTCTAACCACAGTGATGGCTCTAGCTTGCAGGAGAGAGTGGATTTCACTCACCTCTTTACACTGTCCTTCCTCAACCACCATCCACAAGGCCCTGTGTGCTCTCCATCCACACGGGCCCAGTGTGCTCTTGCCATCGTCCTGGTGCTGAAGTTAGCGACCCAGGACTTCTCAGCAGCCTTCATCCACTCCTCTGCTACTTCTAAAAGATGTGCTATGCAACTTTATTTTACACAAGAACTACCAGCAGATTTCCCAGGATGAGAGAAGTCATTTACAGGGTGGGACGGATTAGAGGAAAGGAGATGGATAGGAAACAGCTGCTTTCTCCCCACAACTAAACCAAGTTAATGACGCCCACCCAGGTGCACACACCTTCCTCTCCCCAGATCCCTAGGGTTGTGATGAGGCAAAGTGAGGGGGCAGAGGGTCAGGCAGCTAGAAAGATATCTGATTAAGAGTCAAGTAGAGGGGCTGGAGAGAGCTGGAGAGATGGCTCAGCGGTTAAGAGCATTGCTTGTTCTTCCAAAGGTCCTGAGTTCAATTCCCGGCAACCACATGGTGGCTCACAACCATCTGTAATGAGGTCTGGTGCCCTCTTCTGGCCTGCAGACATGTACACAGACAGAATATTGTATCTTTAAAAAAAAAAAAAAAAAAAGTCTTTCAGTCCGGTGCTCCAATGTGGGTCTCGGTCTCTGTCTCCTTTCATCGCCTGATGAAGTTTAATATTCAGGAGGATGCCTATATGATTTTCTTTGGGTTCTCCTTCTTATTTAGCTTCTCTAAGAACCCGAATTATAGGTTCAATGTCCTTTATTTATGGCTAGAAACCAAATATGAGTGAGAACATCCCATGTTCCTCTTTTTGGGTCTGGCTTACCTCGCTCAGGATGGTGTTTTTCAAGGTCCAAATCAGGAGCAGAAGGAGAGAGAGCACAAGCAATGAACTCAGGACCGCGAGGGGTGCACCCATACACTGAGACAATGGGGATGTTCTATCAGGAACTCACCAAGGCCAGCTGGCCTGGGTCTGAAAAAGCCTGGGTCAAAACTGGTCTCGCTGAACATAGCGGACAAGGAGGACTACTGAGACCTCAAGAACAATGGCAACGGGTTTTTGATTCTACTGGACCTATTGGTTTCGTGGGAGCCTAGGCAGTTTCGTGGATGCTCACCTTACTAGACCTGGATGGAGGTGGGTGGTCCTTGGACTTCCCACCAGGCAGAGAACCCTGATTGCTTTTTGGGCTGACGAGGGAGGGGGACTTGATTGGGGGAGGGGGAGGGAAAGGGGAGGCGGCGGTGGGGAAGAGACAGAAATCTTTAATAAATAAATTTAAAAAAAAAGAAAAAAAAAGAGTCTTAAAAAAAAGAGTCAAGTAGATACTGGCTAGTTCATCCCAAAATCTGGAACCATCCTTGGTGCCTTTCCTCACGAATAAACTAAGTATAAACAACCAGCAAATTACAGAGTAGTTAGAATTAAACCAAACAGGATTACAGTAAAACACCTGCACACGCGGCAGGATGAGTGACAGCTCTGTCTTCACATTAACCTTAGTCTGAAAACCCTCTCTCTAACACGGAGAGAGAGAGAGAGAGAGAGAGAGAGAGAGAGAGAGAGAGAGAGAGAGAGGGAGGCAGGCATAAACAAGAAAACCATAGTCAGCAGCTGTGACTAGAAACCCACGCAAAGTCTTTGGGAGCTTTTATGAATTGATCAATATTAATTACCAACTGATGGCTACCAATAACTGATAGTGATAGTAAGTGACCAATAATCTTTTCAGCTCTGCCTGTGATTACTGTAAGGTTTTCTTTTCCCCTCCTTTCCCTAGACTATATCACCAGACAGCTACTATTATGCAGTCAGGAGCCATCAATGCCCCCTTTCCAGTTCCTACACTTCAAGTGACTTTTAAGCTTGCCTCTATTTACCTTCACAAGAAGGGGTACTCCACAGGAAATACAGTTAGCTTAAAAAAAAAAAGTATAGTTTTGTCTAACATTAAGGGTTGGGTTTTTTTTTATCTCAGTATTTTTTAAAACCATGTATGTATAAGAGTCCTAGTTGTAAGAGTCAAGCAATATGTGTAATAGCAGTAAGAAAAAAGTATGGGGGGGTGGGGTGTCAATGCTATTTCAGAAAACTCTGGCTTCATTTGGTTCAAATGTGCTGGTTGTAATGTAAATTTAATTCCACACAGCAGGTCGAAGTCAAAAAAAAAAGTTTGAAAGTCAATGGAATGAGGTAAGGAGGCAGACAGGAACCAAAGGGTTTCTTTCCACAAACCCTGATACTAGGAATGGGGCTGTCGCCTTAGTTAGGGACCATATATGCCTGTTTGCGGGCTCAGAATCTTTGACCACAGTTAAGCCGCTCTTCCGAGAAGCCACCAGTTCCCATCACATCTGGATCCCTTTCATAGAATCCAAATCTTCCTACCATGCATACCCTTCAGGGTAGGAAGACTGGTTTCTGGAAGTAGGAACTCCCAGAAAGAAGAAGACACTTCCTTCCTTCACAAACACCAACTCCTCACTCCAGCAACTCCAAGGGGAAAGCAAGGAGGACGAATCTGGGTGTTCCTCCTCCTTCAAATAAGAAGCGGTACCGCGGCTTGGGGATTGCTATGCGAGCCCACAGCCCATGCATTCACTTTCACCCCCCATTCGGAACCGCCCACTGTTGCAACGCACACCCCCCGCAGTGGGTGGTTAGGGTAAAGACGGTGTGACATAACCAGTTAGTTCTCCTAGAAAGACAGCCTGCCAGAGAAGGCTTCTCCAGATCCATCTCCAAATGCTCCCACGTTAATTCCTCAAAATAAAGCCTTCGGAGAAAGTGAACTTGGTGCCTAGGAAAGTTACCTCGCTGGAAGCAACCAGGAGGAAGGGCAGGCACAGAGCAGGGTCTTTCAGGACCCGCGTGGGAGGCGACTTAAGCGGGGGTGGAGAGTGGGGGTGGGTTCCCTCCTTTCGGCGTCGAAAGAACCTCCCAGCCGAGCAGGAAAAAGAGAGAAAACAAAAGCCAACGCGCCCGCGGCCACAAACCAACCCTCCCGCACTGAAGCGGAGCAAGCGGGAGAGCCGCGAAGAGGCACCGGAGCGGAGCTGAGAGCCGCGGCGGGACAGGGAAGCGGGCGGAACAAAGCCCCCAAGATCCCTGGGTTCCCATCTGGGGCACAGCGCCCCCGTGCCCCGGGACCCCCGGGTGCGGAGGGATGCAGGTGTGTGCAGGGAGTGCGCCTCCAACGGGTCCTTCCCCCGCAACCTAGCGGGCGGCTGCCCTCCCCTTCCAACCATCTCTCCATCCCTAAGCGTCTCTCACCCGAGCGGGGATCGAAGGTGACCACGAACACAGCCACCACCTGGTCCTCCTCCACGTCGCCCAGCTCCAGACGCCCGGGCTGCAGCAGCACTTCGGGGGGTGCTGGCTCGTCGGGTTCCCGCCTTCGGGGCGCTTCCGCGGCCGCTCGGCCGCTCCCACCGCCGCCCCGAGCCCATCCTCCCGCCTGCAGCGCGGGGTCCTGCGGCACAGAGACCGCGGGGCCCTCGGCCCAGCGCAGTAGCGGCGCCGCGTCTCCCTGCTCCACCATGGCGAGGTGAGGCGGAGCCGAGGCGCGAGGGGCGGGGCGGGCTGCGGGCACTCCCCTCCGGGCCTGCCCGCCCCGCGGCTCTGCGCCGAGCGGCCGCTCTCCTGGTGCCCGCCGGGTTTGGCCACACCTGCCCCTGCTCCTGTCCCGGCCGATGGGCATAGCCCGGAAGCTCGCGAAAGTGGCCCGCTCGGGATCCGTGCCCCAGGGCCTGGTCTGGGCTTCAGTTCTGCATCTCTGTATGTGGGTGCTCTTGACCCAGAGTGTTGGGTGCAGGGCGGACATCCCTTAGTCTGTCCACCTGCGCGTGGGTTGAAGCGCCTTGCCACCTAGGATTCCACAGTGAATTTGTGTACGTCACCATTATTTTTAAGGACCGGAGCACATGTATTATATAATCCTGAGAGCTTGGTGAAAGCTGCTTCCAAGTCAGGAAGTAAAGCAGAGGACTGCTGACTTCCCAGATGTTTCAAATCTACACATAAATCAGGACTGTAGGGTGACTGATTGGGGTGACACTGGGAATTTATTTCCTTGTGTATGTGCCATATGAAGATATTAAGTTGGAGGGTTATGGGTGTTGTTCTACATTTTAAAAAAGCAGAAAAAGAAGTCAGAGGAGTGGGTGAGGTCAGTCCTTAAGCCTGTGGCTTTGGAAAGTAAGGATTGCCTAGGAACTCCCTTTGTATATTAACAAATAAAATTTTGAATGTCCCAACTTGGGGGGGGGGTCAACCTGGTGACTAGCTCAGAAGTATGCAAAAGAAGCCATTAAAATCATAAGCAAAAATAAGATGGCAAGAGACAATTGCATAGATACACAAGTCACCCCATGTTTCAAGAAGGCCCAGTTTCAGACAAGGACTTGGTGGGTTTCTGTGTTACCTGTTACTCCAGGGACCTTTGTGAAGCTCATGGTCTTCCTGCCAGGGATGCAATAATAATATGCCTAATCCTAGACTCAAGAGAGTCATCAATGACTGCCCACAGCTGCTGCTAGTTCCAAATATGCGATTTGCAATTTAACATTTTACCAAAAAAGAGTAGGGATTGCTACCATCATCATTAGTTAGTTCAGCCTGACTCCCGTCCCCTAAAGACATGTTGAGTGGTTATCACACTCAGTTAATGAGGTCATTACTGAAATGGGCGTTCGGAGACCTATGATCCCAGCCACAGCCAAGACACAATCCAGTTTTAATTCGAGGGCACACCAGGCTGGGTTATTCACAAACTCTCAAGGCCATACACCAATACGTGAGAAAACTGCGCCACAGCCAAAGTTCCTGAGGTTGAGACATACAATATTTTATTTTTTATTACAAAATGGGGGTTGGCAAATAATCCTTAACCTTTCCAAAGTCACCAGTTTTAGGGGAAATGGATTTTTTCTTTCTTGAAAAAGATCTTTTCTTGATCTTTATGGCAATGTGTGCCTCTACCAGCACCCCCTAATATAATGTCCTAGGACTATATATACACCCATAAATGTAACTTCCAGCTCTCTGTAGATGCAGAAGAGCGAAGTTTCCAGACTGACAGCCATGTTCTGTCTTCAGCATAGTCTAGTCTGCTGACCATGGAGCCCAACAGTATGTTCCTAGTGCTTTGCATGAAGTTGCTCAACAGGTATCGGTCAACTCAGGAAGTGAAAGCAGAGACTTGGGCTCCCAAGCCATAGGCCCTCTTGCCAGAACTTATTTAGTATCTTGCAAGTGGTAGGTGCACCAAGATGTTAGTGATGGTGCCAGTGCTCTGCTTTAGTGTATACATTCACAGTCTGAAAGATGTTTTAGATCCTGACCATCAGATTGATCTCTGTATCTATTGAGCTGTCATATAACAATACAGGACATTGAGTTTAGCTGTTAGAGCCCTTCTGCTTGGGAACAAGTATTTGAAAAATTATGGGAGAAAGGCCATGATACCAGAGGTACTTGCCTGAGGTAATGATATTTCAAAATGGGTTCACCTAGAACACTATGTCTAAATTTTAAAATAAATCATTTACTTTCTCAAATACTAACTATATCTGCATTACATAAAGTACAGAATGTTTTTAGTCTACAGCCTCAATGTAGATGGTAATCGTAAGGACTTAAATTGTCCGATCTCATCAATTCTAGAACGCAGAGTGCATTTGTGTTTAACGACGCTGTGATGTCTTGACAATTGTCACTGAGGTCTGGTTGTCACAGAAGAAATTTCTGGTTGCTTTGTCAGCCATGGGGAAGAGCCAACCTGAGACTAAGCTGAGCCAAAGCCCTGCTTGAAGTCTCTTGGATAGGGCTGGCAGGGTGACTTCCAAGTGAAGGCTAGCTCAAATATTGGCTTGTAATCCAAATCCTTAGTTGAGATTTTTCATTCCTCTCCCTAGGGACGAAGCGGAAACAAGAAGTTTCCTTATCTAGCTCTCTTTGTAGGAGGCTGCTTTTACTGGTTTCCAAGGCCAAACGGGCATGGAAGTGTAAGGGCTTGTCTTAAATAGATATTTATCAGAGATTTCCTTTCTGTGATTGCTTGTTGACAGTCTGTGTTGGGTTTGTTTTCTCTTTCCCTTTACATCAGATCATGAACATTTTGGTATCCTATAAAGGAAAACTACATGCATTATTTTGGTGGCTAGTGTTATGTGAGAGTCGGATAATTTATATCACCATCTGTCATTGTTGGAGAGTAAAGCTCTTCCCCCTTCTGCTGTGTCTCAAGTTTTGACCGAATTTCACACTTACCGTAAAGCTCTGTAACCTTCAGCCCTGGGAAAGATGTGAGAAAGACAGATGTTTCTCACACTCATTCCCCAGCAGGGAAAGCAGCTATCAGGCAATAAGTAAAACATGGGACGAGGGTAGACAATCAGTCACCAGTCTGTTGATCTGCAACAGCTCGAGGTGGCCGACTGGGTTCAAGTGCATTCTTTTCTCTTATGGTCTTGATTGTTGTATGCTTGTATTTTGTGACTGCATTTTTTTTTCAAAATATATGCTAATTTAATGTCTTAATCTTACCCAGTCTTGTTATGATGTGAGACTTAACATTTCCCACTGAATAGCCTATATTTGTATGCACTTAGGGAATTATTTCTGTAATTCCTTTGAGTTGTAATTCCTTTATAGCACAATGCTAAATTACTGTATTTGCTGATTATGCATTTCTAGCCATTATCTATTTTTACACTCCAACTACACCCATGGGAGGCCCTGGAAGGTCTTAGTATAAGAACATTATGATTCTATTTACTCTTACCCATTAGCTGCTAGATGCAGAATAGAGTACGTGAAGTGAGGCACTGGATCCCTGTTATGAGCCTGACGTCTTCAGCGAAGAGACACGGGGCATGGGGGTGGGGGAAACAGAGACGGGATTTCAGAGAAAGTGAGTCGTTCTCACATGAAAACAGTGCAGAAGGAGGGGTTGAGAGGAGCCTATTCAACAGGCAGAGCAATGAGAATCTGAAGTTCCAGAAAGAGGACTGTGATGTAGTTATAAATACCAAGGCTAGTTGTCTGTGGATAGACAGCATCTCTAGTAACAACACTCTGTGGAAGTGGGTTCAGACCACTGAACTCCATATTGAGAGGCCAGAACAGGAGAGAGGTCATCCCAACACTTTATGGATCAGATTTTAAGATACATGTGTAATTATTTTATTTGGATACAGGTAATTTAATATTATCACAAACATTTTAATAAGTAGATATTTATAGTAAAAGATTAGTCAGTCTGGAAGACAACTTAGACGGTAAAGCCCCTGCTTTTTAAGCATGAGGACCGGAGTTTGCTTCCTAGAATGCACATTTAAAAACCCAGGCATGGAAGCACACTGTTGTAATCCTGGCATTGGGCAGGCAGAGAGAGACAAGTGGATTCTGCCCCCATCCCCAAACCAGCGAGAGACTCTGTCTCCAAAACAAAAAGAAAAAGAAAAAGAAAAGAAGTCAGATAATAGTCACTCGTGTCCTCTGTCATCTACAGGCACCCCTCCACACACACACACACACACACACACACACACACACACACGTACCTGCGCATACAAGAACACACACACACACACACATGAGCAAAACAATCACACTGCACAAGAGATGTAAAGAGCAGAGATTGCCATGTCTAGCTCCCCACTTCCACTCTATCTTTAGAGAACACCACTTTGGACCATGTCGGAATTTTCAGAGTTTCTGGTGAGTAACCCTGTGGAGAGGTGTTAATTCTTCTTTATCACCACCTCCAACCGCTCATAAAATGCTTTCTAATCTAAGTGTGGTGGTGCATGCCTGCAATCTCAGCACTTTAGGAAAGGGACAGGAGGGTCAAGAGCTCAGGGCCAGTCTCAGCTTCCTAGAGGATGAAGGCCAGGCTGGCTGCTCTATATGAGATAATTTCTTGAAAAACAAACCCAGGGGCTGGAGAGATGGCTCAGTGGTTCAGAGCACTGGCTGCTCTTTCAGGGGACCTGAGTTCAATCAGGCAGACACACAGGCAGAACACTGTATGCAGGATAAATAAATAAATAAATCAGAGAGAGAGAGAGAGAGAGAGAGAGAGAGAGAGAGAGAGAGAGAGAGAGAGAGAGAGAGAAAACCAGTCTAAACTAAAGTGGGGGTAGGAGATCTTACAAAAATAAAACATAGGTGTAGTGACTCTGTAATAGCACCAGATTCAGAAGCACAAAGAAGTGGCCTTGAGTAATTTGATCAAGACTTCTTCTGCAACCTGTTCTTGGGTCAGAAATGAGATGTTAAGTCAAACAACCACAAAACTTTCCCATACTTCCTGACTTATTCCACGTTAGAAAGAAAAGGTCTATCTGGATGCCTGTGTGTTGGTGTGGACAGGTACATGCAAAGATGTATACGCCCATACATAAAGCGAGCAAGGAGGTGAAGGACTCCCATCTCTGGCTGCAGTGCTAGCTGAGGTATAGGTAGAATGACTTGCTGTAATTTTAGGGAAGTCGGAATTCTCACAGCTAACAGAGATGCCTGGGCAGCGTACCATCTGAATTACTGGG